TGGGTGGGGAAAAGAAGGAAAAAATAGGAAAATATTGTCAATTAGAGTATCTGCTAAATAAGACTAATAGAGTGGGCTATAAGTACCCAATGCTTAGCTTTTTATGACATTAAGATGTGGAATATAGCGGTCCATCCAGGTCAGGTCTTTGTTCAAACCTTGATTACAGGTGTCAAACTTGTAAGTGAAACAAAGTTCAAATGAAAAGCCCACTAGATGCCTAATTCTTATTGGCTACGTCTACACTGGCCCCTTTTCCGAAAGGGGCATGCTAATTTTACAGGTCGTAATAGGGAAATCTGCGGGGGATTTAAATATCCCCCGCGGCATTTAAATAAAAAGGTCCGCCGCTTTTTTCCGGCTTTTAGAAAAGCCGGAAAAAAGCGTCTACACTGGCCCCAATCCTCCGGAAAAAAGCCCTTTTCCGGAGGATCTCTTATTCCTACTTTGAAGTAAGAATAAGAGATCCTCCGGAAAAGGGCTTTTTTCCGGAGGATTGGGGCCAGTGTAGACGCTTTTTTCCGGCTTTTCTAAAAGCCGGAAAAAAGCGGCGGACATTTTTATTTTAATGCCGCGGGGGATATTTAAATCCCCCGCAGATTTCCCTATTACGACCTGTAAAATTAGCATGCCCCTTTCGGAAAAGGGGCCAGTGTAGATGTAGCCATTGTGTCCATTGACTTGGGATCAGGCCTTTGTGCGGCTTTCAAGAGTTGAATACAGCCTTAGGAGGCCTTCATCTGTCTTCTAATATGGTTCAGCCTCTTTTGACTGGATTGGATCGTTATGTTCCTCTTTCTGGATAGAAATGTTCCTGGATCAGAAGTCAGGCCAGATCAGCACTATGGGGACTACAGCAGCACAGCCATGGCACCATAGTGTAAATCAGCCTAAAGTGACGGAAGGGTTTTTTCTGTCTCCAGGGAAAAACCACCTGCCTGAGTAAGTTAGGTCCACACAATTATTCTTCTATTGAGCTAGCTATGTCTATATGGGGATTAGGTAGGCATAACTGTGGGACTTAGTGGGTTTTCTTCACACCCCTGAGCACTGTAGATACATCAACCTGAACTTTAAGCATAGACCAGACTTCATACTTATCTGTTATCACTATAAGCAAATGTTTTCTGGGTGGAGAACGGAAACTGATGTGGCAAATAAAGAAACATGTACCAGCTAGTCCCTCATAGATTTACCTCCTCTTTTGGGATCCATATTTGTAAATCAAATACATATATTGATGCATTTTCACTTTTCCCCCTCTTTTTTTTTTTAAGGATGACACTGCACCAATTCCTTGGAGTACAAGGTGTAACATTGCTCAAGGTACAGCAAATGGCATCAGCTTTTTACATGAAAACAATCATATTCACAGAGATGTTAAAAGGTAAAAGCTGCTAATGCTCAGTAATACCCACAAAGTTTCCCACTGAATTCACTTTAGAGAGAGAGGAGAGGAAAATGGATTAGGATATCAGTGATGTAGGTCCTCTTTGCCAAGTTCTTGCAAATACCTGTGTGACAGAATTCTTATCACAATGTTTTCAGTTTTTCTATATCAGGACTGTTTACCTAAGATTTCAAGGCCTGCTTTGCCAGTCATTTTAAAGACAACTTCATTTCTTAGTGATTCACCTCTGAGAATATCAGAACAGCTGTATATCTATGCAGAAACATTTTAAGCGAAGTAAATCTTTTCACATTTTCCCAAGTTTTATAGGCTTTGTCTTCACTCCTTGGAAGATAGATTTTGCTGCGAGTCTAGTTAAGACTTGCTAAATTGAACTCAGAGGGCATCCCCAGGACTGCCAGTACTCCTGGTCCTGCAAGGAGTAAGGAAATCCAATAGGAGCATTTACTCCCATTGGCCTTCTGCTGTGGGGACGATGCCAAACTTTGCTTAGAGTAAATTAACTCTAGGTATGTATTTTATGTAGCTGGAGGGGCACACCTGAAGCCAAATTTCTGGGTCTAGTGTAGATCTGGCCATAGTGGCTTTGCAACTTACTCTCACTTTAACAGTCTTTCTGGATTTTGTTTTATGCCTAATGCTTGCACTGTATGAGCATATTCTCTCTCTCTCTCTCACTCATTTGTTGTCTCTTACCAAAGTCTGCTTCATCTTTCCTCCTAAATGAAATCTTAGTGATACTGAATAGACCTACAAAACATCACTTCTAAAAGTTACTCAAGGACAGGTGAGAATTTCCATAGCTCAGAGTTCTAAAACATTGCTCCTGTCGAGATGGTTTGAGCTGCCACTGTAGAACAGCTGATGTGTAATTATTAGTGTATTCAAAAATCATTTCTTGTCTAACTGCAACTAATGTAATAATTATTGCTGTGGAACACTGCTGCACCATGACAACTTTGATGGGAGATTTTTCTGCTGAAAACGCTCTTCTTTTAAGCATTTCATCTGAATGCCTCCTGTGAGTTACTGATATTTTTAATAAAAAACTACAATCAAGTTTGTATGTCAATGGTGTACAGAGGCCTTAAGCAGAAGGGAGATTTTCTACTTGTTATCCCCAAAGCAATTTCTGCCATATCCAGCTCTTGGAGCTAAATTTTTGCATAGCATTTTTTTTAAGTAAATCAGTCCAGCTTATTTCAAGAAATAAGAGCAGTCAACCCACATCTCCTGTAGACAAGCATTTTAGTCCTTAATAAGGACCATGACTGGCTGAACTATAGGATAATGTCATGGAGAGAGGTCCTGAAGAACTTGCTATCTTCCACAATGCTTCTGCTGAATTCAGTGTCCTTTGATTCTGCAGTCCTCTTTGGGTGCTGGAAAAGAGGAGTAATTCTTACTCCAGCTCCCAACCCAAAGCCTCCTTGCTGCTTTGATTCTGTGTGTCTCAGAACCACGCCACTGCTCAAGCTCCCAAGTTGGAATTTCTAGGGAACAGAGTCTCTTCTACTTTATCTCTTCTATGGTCTCCTGACTCCTGCAAGAGGGAATTGTTTTTCCATCAGTACCACTTTGTCCTCCGTCTTTGCTTCCCTGCTTGGACTCTGTCTTTTGTCCTTTCCGACAGTGAATAATTGAATGTGAGACTGCTACTGCTGATAACTTTTTCCAAGTAGCAAGAATGCATTGTAAAGAAGGCAATTCTTGTTATAATTTCTATGTTCAAGGGGTTTCTGAATTACTGTGGAGAAATCAAACAAGATTCTGGTCTGTTTTCCCATTGCTGCAGTTTGGGAAAATGGAATAGTAACAGAAGCACTGGGGTGAGGTCTTTGCAGATTGAGGAAGCCATTATTGAACTGTTGTTTTCATTGTCACTCTTAACTCTTGATTGTGTTGCATGCAGGAAGAAAACGGGTTGGTCTTTTGTAGTAGGACGCAATCACAATAGAACAATAACAATAGAATCCTTTCTACTTTGTAAAGCATAACAAATTTTGGTCTCTCTTCTAGGCTTCTTGCCTTCTCAAGCTGAGAAGAAACTATGACTTACTCAAAAATTGTTTTTTTCACATATGGTGTTCTGACTGGTCTAGATACTATGATCATGAATTAGGGATCCTTTTATAGATAGTCTATTTATAAGATTAAGGTAGCTAGTAATCTTTCATAAGTGATGGCTAAACTTTTTGCTTAAAAGGCTCTAAGAGTAAGACTAAGAGGTTAGTGATACTAATGTTTCTAATAAGGCTTTGTCTATGTCTACATTGCAAAGCTTTTCCGAGATACTTGAAATATCCTAGAAAAGCTCTGCCGCATCCAAGGAATCCGTCCACTTTTTCGGAACAGTTTCTGAAAAAGCGTATGCATTTTTTCAGCATCCCTGTATTCCTCATTGTATGATGAATAAGGGATGTTCTGAAAGAGAAGGTTTTTCCAAAATTTGGCCCCATGTAGCCTCTTCTGAAAAAAAAAACCCGAAAAAGATACGCAAATTGCAGTTAGCAATTTGCGTATCTTTTTCCAACATTTCTTTGCAGTCTAGACATAGCCTTTGTGTACTTCAGATGTTTCCTATTGATCTGTTATGGTTGCAAGTATGCATGTTCATAAAATGGAGAGAGAATGCCTAGGTTCAAAGTTACTTTAATACTGTTGCAGGTTCTAGAAGCCAAAAATATTTACATGTAAAAATAGCAAAATATATAACTATATTCACTAAAAAGTTCAGTTTCCCCTTCCATTGATCTGAGTCTAGTTCAGCACAGTTTTTCTTTGAGACCATTAAAGGCATATGTGCATGGAGTGTTGCTGAAGCTGTGTTGGTCCTAAGGTGTTAGCAATACAAGTAGAGTGAGGTAATAAGTTGACATGCCTGCATAACTTCTCTTAACTTGTTATGTTCATGTCTCATGGGGAAAAGAAGCATCCTTGTATCCCTTCCACTTGCTTGGTAATTTTTGGAGGCTTCTGGATATGCACCAAAAGCAGCTCTTTGGTGTTTTGTGTAGGATGAGCTAAACTGGAATTCAGAGAATTTTGTGGAGGATTCTGCCTCAAGAACTTTACTAAAATTAATTAGGCTATACAGTTTTGCTTAAAGAAGGAGTGTTCAAGCTGTGCCTAGAATTTTGGGATGTTAATGTTACAGAATTAAGTTTCTGGACTTTAGTTTTGCTCCCTGTTAGTCTCCAGGAGAGCTTGTGAATAGATTATTGTGCTGGCCAGACAGTTACTGATTATTTAGTGAACTATTTGTTCTTCTTCGAGAGGCATCCCTGGGGGTGCTCTACAGTAGATGCTGAGCATCCCGGCACCTCTTGATGGAGTTTCCTCTAGCAGTGCATTGGGAGCCACACGTGCGCGGAGCACACGGGCCTTCCAGGAGCCATCACACATGTGCGGCCGCCCTCCCCCCTTCAGTTCCTTTCTAGTGTCTCCGGACTCCAGACGGAACTCGGCAGTGCTCTCGTTTCTCTCAGCATAGTTATAGAATTTCTCTTCTAGTTTAGTTAGTTGTTAGTTCTAGTTCACTTGTTCAGTGTTGCTTTAGTGTTAAAAAAAACAAAATGCGGATCGGCTAGCGTGTCACTTCTTAGCCGCGTCATTGGATCTCCCAATTTCAAATGCTGCGTGCTCTGCAATGAGGTAATACCAGCCTCTGGTGGACTCAACAACTGTGTCAAGTGCCTTGGCAACTCACCTTCCCAAAAAGACTGCCCACACTGCGCTAAGCTCAAAGCGCGGGCACGTAAGTATAGAGAGCTAAGGCTTAAAATGCTGATGGCTGATAAGAGTGGACACCCTTCTTCTGACCCAGGCTCAGGTCACATTACCACAGCAAAAAGGGTTAAATCCCCTGAGGCCGTAAAAAGACAGGCAAGCTCGCTGCCTCAGCGCTCTTCTAAGAGGCACCCTGCTGACAGGCAATCAGATTCTTATAATAAGCACCTCAGCACTTCTGACCACCCAGGTGTCTCAGGCAAACAGCACAGTAAACACAAACAAAATACAGGACTATGTATTTTGTTTCAGCTACACCAGACTAACACAGCTACATTTCTATCAGTAAACACAAAAGCACTAAAACAGCTGCCCCCTCAGAGGCAACAGGCCACATAGTGCCTGCCTCCATCAACGCGGCACCGACCAGGACGCCATTTGCCTCAGCATCACTTCAGCCAAAATCTCAGGACCGCAGCACAGCACCGCCCCTCTTCTCCCCCCCCCCCCCCCCCCCCGCACCCCCAATTTTTATTCCATTGTCAGGAGCAACTCCTCAGGAGGCTAGCTCTGTTCTCTCTGCACCGCAGTCAGTACACTCTGCAGCAGCACAGCTCCCACATTCTCTCGTCAGGAGCTACAGGGAGATTAAAGATTTAATAATGTCTCCTATGCTCCAATCTCCTATTCTGAGTGACAACCGATATCCTCACTCCCCCTTTTCTGAGTATTCACAATCACGTTTCCCTCTCTCAATGAAAGAGGCAGAGGACGTGGCTATGTTTTCACCACAACTATCTCCATGCTCAGAGGGGTCAGGAATGCAAGTTAACCCTGTGCAGCCAAATTTTTTCCCAATATAAACTGCTCCCTGGACTTTATACCCATGGATGCCTTCACCCATGGTTTGCCCTCCACAGTGGCAAATGTGGAATCAATGCCCACAGCAGCAACATAGAAAAAAACCATTCAAAACCAAACATTTAGAGAAACCTTGCACTTTTCTGATTAAATCACCCTCTGTACCTACTGACAGAAATGACGGTGAGGATCTATACTCTCCACACTCTTCGGTGGCATCTTATTTCAGCCTAACTCTCTTTCTACCACAGAGGTGGCAATCCTACCCCCATCTGCTAGCAATACAGAGGATATTTTGTCCTTTCAGGACTTTTTAAAAAGAGTTGCCACAGTTTTAAGTATCACCATGGAAGAGGTACAAGACTCTCACCATGAGCTCACAAACATCCTCCAGGTGACACTATCTGCTAAAATAGCTCTACCTATCAATTCAGCCATACTTGAACCGGCAAAAACCTTGTGGCAGACTCCTGCCTCAATACCACCAACATCTAAAAAGGCAGATAGGAAGTATTTTGTTCCCCCTAAGGGCTCTGAATTTTTTTTTTCACGCCCTTCACCAAATTCCCTGGTAGTGGATGCTGCGCAGCAAAGAAATAAACAGCAGAACCGATCCACTCCATCTGAAAAAGACAATACAAGATTGGACTCTTTTGGTAAGAAGCTTTGTTTCTGCTACTCCTTCAGATGAAGGTAGCGAATTACACCGCATTACTCAGTAAATACGACTTTAACAACTATTCAAAATTTAACACATTTATTGAACATATCCTGATAACAAGAAGACACAGTTTAAAACTATGATTTCAGAAGGTCAAACGATATCACATATAGCATTACAACCCGCCCTTGATGCAGCAGATACAGCCATGAGGACAACAGCCACAGCAGTCACCATGAAAAGGGCCTCATGGTTCAATTCTTCTGCTTTTCCCCCTCAAGTCCAACCAGTTGTGGAAGATCTCCCATTTGATGGCGATAAGCTGTCTCAACAAAGACTAATGAACTTCTGCAGTCAATGAAGGACTCAAGGTCTATACTTTGGTCACTTGGCATCGAAACACCTGCAACAACACCAAGACAATTCAGATACCAACCATATCAGAGACAAAGGTACCCACAACCCATGTACTATTATCAGAGGCAAGACCATCTGCCGTACTAACAATGTGGGCAGGGTAGACAACAAAGACAACGTACTCCGAATAAGCAAATTTGAAAGGCCAATCAAGAGACCAAAAGCCACATCACCTACCCTGGAGTCTCAAAATACATCAAACTATTCCATTTTCGTTTGTTCCCGTTAAAACAAACAAACAAACAAAAAACCCTGAAAAACTAGTACCTCTGATAAGTGGGTAATTCAAACTATCCCCCTGCCCTCCCTCCCTTTCCCTCTTCAGAGTCCCCTCTCACAAGGCAATCTTACAACAAGAGGTGATTCACCTCCTCCTGTTAGGGGCAATAGAACTAGTGGCCCCGCACTTCCCCAGAACAGGGTTCTATTCACACTATTTCTCACAGAGCCGTCTAACAGATGTTTTCTTCGTTTTACTGAGATCTCCAACATTATCGATACACGGTCCTACCCTTGGGACTTTCTACAGCACCCAGGGTAATTTCCAAAGTGTTGGCAGTCGTCGCTGCCCATCGCAGAAGATGTGGAATCACTGTCTGTCCTTATTTAGACAATGGCCTCATCAAAGCAAGGCCTGAACATCAGTACCACCAGCATACCCTCATGGCCCTAAATTATCTGGAGGTCTTAGGACTCCAGGTAAACCACAGCAAATCAATGCTCACACCTACTCAAACCATACAATTCACTGGGGCAGATCTCAATTCCATCACAGCCACAGCCTCTCTGCCTGCTGACAGATTCATCCGTATCAGACAACTGGTACAATCTTTCCAAGAGATGCCCTCAGTACTGGCTCATGACTATCTACAACTATTAGGCCACATGGCATCATGCACCCCAGTGGTCCCCAAAGCATAACTTCTCATGAGATGTTTTCAAGGCTGGCTCCGACTCAAATACAAACCTCAGGTCCATCACATGACCAAATCACTCAGATTACCATGTGCAGTAAAGGCATCCCTATGCTGGTGGAGAAGTTCATCCAACCTGTGCACAGGGGTACCCCTTCAAATCTCAGATCCCACAATAATTATTACCACAGACGCATCCTTCATGGGATGGGGCGCTCATATGAAGGGCCAAACAGCACAAGGCCTATGGTCCTCAGCAGATCGCATCCCTCACATCAACATCCTGGAACTCAGGGCAGTCCACCTGTCATGCCAAAGACTACTTCCCCATACTACGGTGAGTCATATCTATATACGGATAAAACGGTATGCATGTTTTATATAAACGGACAAGGCAGTGCATGCTCACAGGCTTTCTGCAAGGAAGCCATAGCACTTTGGAACTGGTATCTACCCCGAGACATATGCATAACTGCATATTACCTCCCAGGCATCTTAAACTCCACAGCAGATTCCCTCAGCAGAGCCTTACCATGGGACCACAAGTGGGAACGCGATTATACAGTCCTCAATAATATACTCAGATGATGGGGCTCACCACTCATAGACCTACTTGCCACCAGAGCAAAAAAAAAAAAAAAAAAAGCCAAAGCTACTGCTCTAGGGCAGGCATGGGAAAGCACTCACTCAGAGATGCTCTCACCTTAACATGGAAGGCACCCCTGCTTTATGCGTTCACCCATTTCCCCTCCTCAACAGAGTCCTAATAAAGACACAAAGTGGCAAAGCAAAACTCATTCTCATGGCACCCTGTTGGCCTCACCAACCATGGTTCCCCCTCTGGCACAGGATGGCATGGTACCACCCAATACGCTCCCATGCAATCCGAACATCTTATACCAACCGGGAGCCACGTCTCCTCACCTTCAGTTCCAGAGACTCCACCTCAAGGCATGGCACCTCGATGGTTCACAGGCATAGAATTTCAGTGCTCCGAACAGGTGGAGACATCTTATTACAAAGCAGAGCTCCTGCAATGAGAAAAACATATTAACAAAGGGACCCGTTTCACTCACTGGGTGACCTCGCCTAATATACCACTCCCGGCTATTTTAGAATACTTACCACATCTTAGAAGACACCATAGTCTTTGCACACCCGATAACCAAATGACTTCTAAAAGGTCTACAGTCTATATACCCAGACATTGCGGCCTTAGAGAACCATGGGATCTACTTATGCCATTATCAACACTCATAAAGTCGCCATTTGAACCTATGGCTTCATGCTCCCTACGTCATTTAACATTAGAAAAACGGCTTTCTTGGTGGCAATAACTGCAGCTCGTAGAGTGAGTGAGATGGCGGCCCTTATGCCTAACTACCTTTTTACTATCTTTTTGTTTAAAGACAAACTCTGTATGTGACTATACCCAAAATTCTCACTGAAGGTGCGCTCCACTTTCCACCTCAACCAAACGATATACTTACTATTATTTTTTCTTTTCTAAAACCTCGTACTAACGCTGTTGCAGATCAGATGCACACGTTAGATGTCAGAAGGACACTTTCCTTCTATATCAGTATCAGTATCAGTATCAGTAACGTTTCAGGTTGTCTTCGCAACTCTTCATCTCCATTGCAGATCACAGCAACAGAAATGGAATATCATCACAAAGATGATCACATTGGACTTCTGACTGCATTACTACATACTACTCTCTAAATGACTTACCTCCGCCATTTCCAATCCAATCAAACTCCACAAGAGCGGCTGACACTTCCATCACTTAACTAAGGAAAATTCCCGTGGAGGACATATATGCAATGGCCACGTGGTCCTCAGAAGACACTTATGCAAAGCATTACGCATTCGACACGGGACCTCTCCAGCATACTAGATTAGCAAAAGCTGTGCTACAAACAGCATACTTATCTGATCCGAAGTCCCTACCTCCATACAATGTACTACTTTATAGTCACCTATTGTGGAGCACCCGTAGGGATGCCTCTCGAAGAAGAAGAGGAGGTTACTCACCTTCCAGTAAATGATGTTTTTCGAGATGAGTGTCCCTGGGGGTGCTCTGCTATCCTCCCTTCTTCCCCTCTACTTTGGAAAACTTTAATATCAAGACATCAAACATCCTCGCCGGGTTCTGAATAGAGAAGGAACTGAAGGGAGGGGAGGCCGCGCATGCGCGATGGCATCGGGGAGGCTGCGCAGCCCCCAATGCACTGCTAGAGAAAACTCTGTCAAGAGGCACTGGGATGCTCAGCACGTAATGTGGAGCACCCCCAGGGACATTAATCTCGAAGAACATCAGTTACTGGAAGGCAAGTAACCTCCTCTTTTGATAGTTATGGCAGATTCCCACCAGTGGTCACTTTCATATATGTTACTTACTAAAGTAAATCATCAACTTCAGTGAGTTTTCCAGATTCCAAAAATTTTTAACTCATTGGTTAAAAATGAGTACAGTTCACATACAGATATTTAAATGCTTTTTTTAAAGTGTGATTAAAAACATGTTGAGAACATTATTTTTGTTTTTCAGTGCAAATATCTTACTAAATGAATCATTTATGCCAAAAATTTCTGACTTTGGACTTGCAAGGGCATCTGTGAAATTCACACAAACCATCATGACTGATAGAATTGTGGGAACAGCAGCCTACATGGCACCTGAAGCTCTGCGTGGAGAGATAACACCCAAATCTGATATTTTCAGTTTTGGTGTGGTGAGTAGCCAAGAGAACACTGTTGTACTTACTTCCTCTTTATAAATGATTCATGAAGCTGAAAATCCAACATTTGTCACCATTTTTTCTTGCATATACTGTGTTTACTAAAGGAAACCACTTTGTACCTTAACAGTTAATGTATTACAGGGTTGTACCTCCCTGGTCTGACATTCTCAGGACCTGACCGGTCTCGAACCAGGGAATTTGCTGCACCAGGGAAGGTCAACATGGACCCCACTGCTGTCATTGGCTGCCGGGCCCTGCTTTGGTGGCAGCAGATGGGTTGGCATTGACCAAGCAGGAGTTGTGGGAGGGGACACTCTGGGGAAGAGGCAGGGTGGCTGTGGAGTCCTGTGGCCAGGGGCTAGGAGCACAGCCCGGTGGGAACACACTAAGCCCCAATGGCTGGCTATGGAGCTGCACTTCTGGCCCCCAGCCACAAGGCTCTGCAGCCACCCGAGTATTCCCCGTTCCCATTTCTCCCTCCCTCTCACCATCCTTTCTGAGCTTGCAGTGCATTGGAAGCTCTGACAGAGTGAAGGAGGAGTTGCTGAGTGGGGATTGGCCATTCTTCATGAGTGCTCCAGCCCGGGAGAATTCATGGGGATGCCAGACTGCAGATGTTGCTGGATTATAAAAATCCAGATTACAGAAGCTGAACCTGTGTTCTGTTGTGCTGTTTGAAGATATTTGAAAGTGCTAATTAATTAGAGCTGGCATTTGAATCTTACTACTGGTGGCTGCTATTCTGCTGTAAAGTGAGTTTGATGGTGTAACTTAAGTTCCAATTTGCTTAAATACTGTTTTTACAGTCCTTAAGATGAGTTACGTTTATATGTTAAATATCGTTTCCACATGCGCACCTTAGAACAGAGAACTGGTTCTCTTAACTAATCTGCTTTTAAAACCAACAACCCCAAATTTGACTGTTGTGTGCTGCTAAAGCACAGTAATTTATGCCAATCATGCCTGGCTTGCTCTTAAATCAGTATAAGCAGCGTATTAGTGTTCCTTGCTCTACCCGAGGGTATTCAGGAGAATGGTGAATCCAATTCTGGAGAGATTATTCCTCATCACAAGAGTTGCTTTCTGACTAGCAGCTTGTGAGATGAAAAGACAAGGAAGAAATGTTTAAGTACCTGAAAAACACCAATCACCTGCTGAGGAGAAATGTGGTTATGAATAGGAAAATAAACACCACCCTGTGGGGTCAGGGACGAACTGCAGGGAATGTCCATACCGCACACAAAGTGAAAAAGGAAATAGGGTGACAAACCAACTTCTACCATCAGACAGGCAGGAAAGCAAAACAATGGAGAAGCTCATTAGGAGGCGTGAGGTGAGAAAAGCCAAGGAGTTCACCTGCTCTTCTAAAAATGAAGAAAATGAGGGAAGCAAGAATCAGCTAGTTATGTCCAGAAATGCTCTCTGCTTTGCAAGCTGAGATCCTAGGGACTTGCACTTGAAATTGTTATAAGTACAAGCCAAAGATTTTGTTCCTTTGTTTCAAATGATTTATGTGTTAACTATTTCTGGATGCTTTTTTTTTTTTTATAGGTTTTACTGGAAATAATAACGGGGCTTTCACCAATAGATGAAAACCGTGAGCCACAATTACTGGTACTGACCTCTTTTTTTTGTTTCATATAAAACTTTAAGTTCCTGTTTAGGGATGTCCCAGCTTTGACATCAAGCTGGTACAGATAGTGCATCCTGGTGCTGTGTCAAAGTCTGTATCAAGAGTAATGCAGGAACCTTTTCTTGAACTAGTGGGAAAAAGTCTAATCAAAACCAAGAAAAACACATTGCCAGTTTTGAGGAAGCTACCCTATCTTACCTCTCTGGGCCATGGGTATCACATGGCATCAACATCTGGAAAAAGGGCCTCAGGGAATCCATAAAAGTAAATCTTAACAAAAGAAAGGTATCATTCATACTGCATCATGCATCCATCATTTCCTAAGGTAAATTTAGTTATATTGTGGCTGCTGTCATTGTAAAGAGCAGAATTGGGGAACTCAGTAAGGGATTGTTGCTCCTTAACTTGTTAAAAGTTCGCAGCTTGTATTTCACTGCCAGATAGATGCTTTAAAGGGGAGTGAACAGAAGAGGGCAATTTTTGAGTGATCCATCCCTTGTCATCCAGTTACAGTTTCTGGCAGGGAGAGATGTAGAGATACCTGATGTTGCTGCTTTGATGATCCTGGCTAATAGGTCCATAAATGGCTAGCCAAAACAAACTCATGTAATTATTTTCTGCACTCAGTTATTCTTTTGGCCATCATAACATCACCTGAAAGTTTCCACAGGTTGACTGTATTGTGTGAAGAAGCACTTCCTTATGTTTGTTTTAAACCCGCTGCCTGTTAATTTTCGTTGGGTTACTCTTGGTTCTTGTGTTATTTACGCCTTCCTGTAATATTTCCATGTTCACTTTCGCTACCCCTTTCATGACTTTATAAACCTCTGTCATAACCCCCCCTTTAGTTCTTGCTTTTCCAAACTGAACATTCTTTGTGTTTTTAATCTGTCCTCATATGGAAACTCTTTCATACCCCCTAATAATTTCTGTTGCCCTTCTTTATACCTCTTCCAACTTAGATACATCTTTTTTAAAAAAATAGGGTGACTAGAACAGTATTCAGTATTCAAGGTGTGGGCATACCATGGATTTATATAGTGGCATTGTGATATCTTCAATCTTCTTATCTATCCTGTTCATAATGGTTCTTAATATTTTGTTAGTTTTTTTTACTGATGCTGCACATTGAGCAGATGTTTCAGAGAAATAACCATGATGATGCCAAGATCTCTTTCTTCCTTGAGTGACAGCAGATAATTTAGGCCCCATCATTTTGTATATATAGTTGGGATTATGTTTTTCAGTGTGCATTATTTTGTGCTTATGAGCTTTGAATTTCATCTGCCATTTTGTTGTCCAGTCAGCCAGTTTTGAGATCCCTTTATAATTCTTCACAGAAGAGGCCTGATGACTTAGTGTTTATCAATTTGTTCCAGTACCTCTTTTATTTACACCTCAGTCTGGCACAGTTCCTCAGATTTGCCCCCTAAAAAGAATGGCTTGGCCACGGGCATCTCTCTCACATCTTCTGCAGTGAAAACTAATGCAAAGAATTAATTTAGCTTCTTTACACTGACCTTGTCTTCTTTGAATAACTCCTTTAGCACCTTGATTGTCCAATGACCCCACTGATTGTTTGACAGGCTTCTTGCTTCTGGTGTACTTTAAAAAATTACTGTAAATTTTTGTGTCTTTTTTTGTTGTTGCTCTTCAGATTATTTTTTGGCTGCCTACTTAAACTTTTACACTTGACTTGCCAGAGATTATGCTCCTTTCTTCTGTCCTCATTAGGAGTTGGCTTCCAATTTTTAAAGGAAGCCTTTTTGCCTCCCGACTGCCTTTCTTATTCTGAGACTTAGCCATGGTGGCGTTTTTTTGTTCCTCTACATGTATATTCACCTGCTCATGCACACATTTAAATCTTATCTCTTTCACTAACAGATGTCGATCCAATAAACAATATCATCTCACCCATTTTCTCAGTCAGTAAAATGTAAAGTACTTACATGTTTAAACCTTGCTGCTCCTTTTAAAAATGTTGTTCTATTCAGAAGTTTAAACACTACCATATTCTCTTACAGTTAAGTATCAAAGACGAAATTGAAGATGAGGAAAAGACAATTGAAGATTATGTTGATGAAAAAATGAGTGATTGGGATGCCATTTCCATTGAAAAAATGTATTCAGTTGCTAGTCAGTGTCTGAGTGAAAAAAAGAACAGGAGACCAGACATTAAGATGGTACATGGATTTTCACTTCAAGGTTTGTGTAGCCCATATGTTTTGCATGGTGGTGGTAATGTAACTAATTCATACCTATTCTATTTTTGCAGGTCCAGCAGCATCTACAAGAGATAAGGGCCTGATACCTGTTTCTGACCAGTTCCGTGCCATGCCAGCATTCCAGGCTTTTGTGGCATATATGTACAATCTTTTGTTGGCGTTTCCTCACTGTACCTTCTTCCCTTGACAACTCAGGCAAGGAACTTTCTCCAAGACTTTATGCATTAGTCATTTGGAGATGATGTCTGATTAAAACAATGGGTATCTTAGCCCCTGTAAGTCAGAATGTCTCACTTCCAGAAGACTTTCCTTGGTTGCCTTAGAGAGCAAGAATGCTGAGATTCTTATGGCAACATATTGTGCTTCTGCCACACCATCTCCACTTTGTTTTCTTAATATAGTTCCTGACTAGAATCCAGGCTTCTGCAGCAATCTGGGTAACATAGAGCTGTTACAAAGAGACAATGGTAAATAAATTGATGCCTGGTAAACTGTTTCTAAGCAGGAAGACTAGCCCTTTTCAGTTTCTACTGTAAGCAAAAACTTCAACCCCTCAACAGAAGCATTAAAAGTCTCTCTGGGGACTGCTAGAGAACACCTTCCTAAGAAATATTTTCTTTCCCATATCCCCTGGAGCTTGTGTGCACCTGTACTACCCTCTAAAATATGAAATAACATCTCAAGCATTTTTGCTTTAGTGGGTAGAGAAAGACAGACAATATCCCTTCTTGCCAACAATGCAGTAGAATAATTTGATTTATCTGTCAAATGTGCATTTGTAGTCAGCTGTTCTATAGCATTAATGGATCACTCATTTGTACGGGGGCAGCCAAGGATTTTTACAGGTTTCTGGCACAAGATTTTTTTTTCCAGCCCTGTTGTGCTGCTTAGTGCTCACCTGCAGCTCTATTTTCTATCCATACTGCAATTATAACAGTATGTTCTTTCACTCCATTATTGCAAATGATGGGTGATTTCTACTGTTCCATTTCATCAGCTGAGTGGAGTCTGTATCTCCTCAGTACACATGGCTGAGTTCTTATTGTCCAATGCAAAATATTCCTTATAAGTTAAAGTACTTTCTTTCTTTCAAAAGAAAGTACTAGGCTGTTTCTTTGTAATGAAACAGATGTAAACATAACTAGAGGGTCTTTAGCAGAGCGTTAGAACCACTGGGTGGGAACTGATGACAGTCAAATTAGGCACAGTTGTATGGTTTTGTTTTTTAACAGCATAAGTAGCCATTGGGACAAACTACCATTGGAAAATAGTGGAGTCTCCATCTCTTGTCTTCAAATCCATTCCATTCTGAATAGTACACTTTAAGCAACCCACTTTTGAACATTTGGCTATGAACATTCTGGGCTTGGTACTACTTCCTACTCTCTGCCAGAGGAGCAATAGGCAAGGCCCCCTTCTCCTTTGGGGCAGTGGGAATGCTGTTGTGTGTGTCACATGCCGATGTGGTTCAAGACATGAGTATAATCTACCATGGTTTTCTATCTACAGAGACGAAGTGTGCTGAAAATGGAATAGACTGGTTAAAAATTAGATGTGATTAAAAGGATTTAAGTATACTTACTGTTAATAATGACAATGGCCTGGACCACTTAGGCCAGAAGATGATCCCAACTAAAACACCTAAATGGTTTTATTGAATTTAGCAAATGAAAAGGGTTTGACTCCATAACTTTTTTCTAGACTAATGCAAATTAATTGGACAGAAACTTAATACCCACTCAGAATTACTTGTTGCCATTTTCAGTCACTATTTTACTCTTTTGTAGTTCAACCATAGATATTCCTATGAGCCTGTCTATAGATTTAAACCATCAAACTGGGAATATAGTTTTTACCTACATACATTTATGCTTTTTTTTAAACAGGAAAAAATATTTTCATATATTTTTTCCAAATTAACTCAACTCTTCATTTTAAAAAATGGACTTCAACTTAGTCTATAAAAGTCATGCAATACAGTTAATAGCAGTGGGTTATGTCAAAACAAAATCAAGTAATCTTAATTCTGTAAACTAATTATGGAATTAGAATCAACTCAACATTCAAGGGACAGATTGCTCCATCAATGTTACTGAAGTATGTACATGCAGAGAGGGGAATAAAGACTTCAAAATAAATTTTAAATGTGGCTTCTTTTGCTTCCTAACTTTAAGTATTTAAATCAATGCATCATACATACATTTCCTTTCTGTAAACAGAATACTTCATCCTTGGTCTTGCAGTCTGAAAGTACTAACAAATGTTTTGGTGGTTACTTATTTTTTTTAAAAAGTCATGTACGTTAAATGGCTGCCTTGGTAGTTTTCCAAATACTTTCCTTAACATGCATAAACTCCGTGCTTATCTTTTGAACAGACACAGTAAACAACATTTTTATTTTTACAGATTAATTGTACAACTTAAGAAAAACACTCTTCACCTAAATTCAGCTACGTGTTGTGACTAGTTAAGCCCTTTAAAGAGAGTATATTCAAAGTACAGTTAAAGAGTAACAGCTGTTCTTATGCTACCTCCCCTTCCCCCGCATCTAACATGGATATTTTGGACATGGGCGAATTACTGTGTGAACAAACATTAGTTACCAATAGATACTGAAAGCCTTTAGAATGTTAACCTTTAATTAGATATATTTGCATTTTGACATAACTGTAGAAAACATTTTTACTTTGAGTATCATAATAGTTACAAGAAATTGGAAAACAGAATAATCTAAAACTACGTCTTATTATTGATGTTACTTCAAAACAAGAGAAATGATGATCAAACGGTTAATACACCTTCCTTTTTGTAAGTATTTCTATGACCTTCAAGCAGTAAATGATAAAGCATCTGACAGAAGACAGGATGCACTTGTGAATTATACTAACCTGTTGTTTTTAAGTTGAGCACAACTGTGTCCATTTTCACATGAGAATGACAAGAGTGGAAGGCCAGTGTTAGTTTACACTAATGCTTATTATACCTAAAACATTCATGCTTTGAGATTTATTTTTCTGTGTTTGAGCCCATGCACCTGAGGTACTTTAGATCATGGTAGCTCAGGTGCTAAACGACTAAATATTTTGCAGACAACATTTCACTGATTTAAAGTGAAATTTCACTGTCTTGTATGCCTCTCAAAGCAGAAACTAAATGTAACTCTTAGAATATCTCTGCATTATGGGTATGGTTAAAGTTCAATGAACTCTTAAGAGCTGACCTATATCCCCTGACTTGGGCTCATGGGACTCAGGCTATGGGACTCTAAATTCACAGAGTACATGTCTGGGTTGGCACCCAAGCTCTGGGATCCTCCTTTTTATGGGGTCCCAGAGCCCCATCTGGAGCTTAGACATCTGCACTGCAATCTGACAGCTCCATGAGCCCAAGTCAACTGATACAAGTCAGATGCAGGTGTGTTATTGCACTATAGACATACTATAAAATAGCAGCATGTTTATGTTGCCATAGCCCCATAGTGCGGATACATCTACGCTGACAGGCTTTTTCTGTCTGTGTAGGAACATGACTTTCCTGGACAGCATTAATTGTATCGACAGAAGCAGTCTTCTGTCTACATAGCTGTGTTGATGCACGGGGGGTTAGCTGCATACTTGGCCACAGTTAAACAAACCAAACCTTAGCTATAGACAGTGCTCAGTTGGTGGAAGAATTGTTCTACTGACCTAGCTGCCACTTCCCAGGAAGAAGGCTTCCCACAGTGATGGGAGAATCAGCACTGGTAGTATCTATACTGAAGCCTAGAATAGTGCAGCTGTGCCTCTGTAGTATTTCAAGCATAAACAAACACTAAAACTCCAGTAAAGCTCTTCAGAGCAGTAATGTAGCTATGTCATTATCGACACAACCAAACTGGAGGATTGTTTCCAATCAGCACCTCTCTCCCCTAACAATGTTTTTATTCTGTGCTGTTTCTAAACATATGTTTACAGGTATGTACTTGTGTATGATAATTTTGTAATGTGAATTCAACCCTCACAAACACTGAACCAAAACTTCATCTTTATTGATAAATTGAAATTTACAAAATACGGGAAAGAGAGGCTTATTTAACTGAAATGTTTGAAAATGTTACATTCAATACATATATACTGGAGATAAGTTTCCATAATCAGTATTTTAATGATTTTTAGATTTAATCCAATGCCTACATAGCACAAATGATATTAACAGCTTGATTCATTATACAAACTAACACAAGTGAATGTAAAAATCTCATTTTTCCCATGTTACTTTTGAAATAAGCTTTTGCAGTGTAATTTATCACTTGCTCATCTGTGTTTTTCTGGCAACAAATCTACTAAAGGGGAGAGGGAGGATTTGAGGAGTTAGTCCAGACAGTCATTTGTTCTAGCAGCTACATCTTTCCCCATGTGCTTTATGAAGGCAAACAACATTTTAAAAAAGATTCATTCAACCATCAAATGACCAGTAACATTTCAAGGAACAACAGTCCAGGCTTTTATTAATGCCCTAATTGTGTGCTGCTTCTAAGCATTGACTTACAAAGTATTAACCAGATGCTAGTAGGTGCCTTTGTCTAGTGTCCATATATGACAGATTAGATAATATGGTGAATATTTCAGTAAGCGTAGCATAAGGCCCTATTCTACTCCATTGCTGTTTATGGCAGCTTCCTATTCCAATATTGTAAGCAGCTTTGTTTTTCTGGGTTGGTGTGTGGAAGGAAAGTGCAGTTACACCCCACCTTGCATGTTGCTGTATATTGGACAGACTACACAATGCCTGCTTACCATCAGTTGACATGAAAGGCTACAGTCTGACATGCTCTGGCTTTGGGTGGGCACCAGAACAGCCCATTAGGTGATTGTGACAAGGAGCTCATAAGCAGTTGTCTGATTAAGCAATGGGGACAACAGTCTAGCCTACCCACCCTGCAGGTGGGTAAGCCAGTTCTCTCCCCACCCAGAAGCCCTTGCCTCCTGATATAGGGATGATCATGTCAATCCATATCTCCCTCCATGGATCTTTAATATCATCCATTTCTCTCCCTACTGACCAGGGGTTTAAGCCTGCATAGCTGCCTTGCTTACATTGTGATGTTCCTAGTAAGTCAGTTTGTCTAAAGGTCCATGCCTCTGCTATATTTTCTGTCCAGCGGCTATGAACAGCCTATAGCTAGCTGTTACCAGTTACCACCCAGTGTCTCTCTCAGCAATCACATTTATTCTTAATAGTATTACACAGTAAAACATTTTAAAAAGCCAAGTTCCTATGCAGGTGCTAAAGTTTAGCAGAAGTCACCTACCTTTCTGGGGACCACAGTCAGTTTTAAATCATCCTTTTTATTTCAAAAAGCACTTTTTTGGCTGTTGGTTTCTAGTGTGACCCAAGCCGCCCAAGGAGTGGTACCTCTCTGGAGGTGTTTGCAAACAATGATTCACCTTAACTCCCTATTTTCAATTCCTGGCAGAGCTGTGACAACTCTCACCCATTAGAGCTGCATACAATTTCTGGCCCAAGTATTGCATAGACCTCTCATACACTTAAAGCAAAATGGTCCTCACAGCTATTGCATGCATTTGTAATATTGGTCACAAAAGCTATGAACAAATTCCTGCAGACCTACAACATGGGATCAACGGGTAGAGAAAGGGCCTATAGAGAGTATCAAGTGGTACAAAGCAGCATTTATTTTGATAATTCTCACAAGCTGTAAAATTCCTTGACGAAACTGAAGAAGAATTATGTTTTTCTGTCTTTTTGTAGCAGGACCCTGGGTAGGCTACAGTAATGAAGCTACAGATTTCAGAAAGTTGCAAGGATCAACAGATCATATGATCTGTTCTATTTGATTGAGTCCTGGATTACTACAGCTAGTCTGACTATTTTAATTTAAAAATTATATTTAAATTTCTAACCCTCACCCAGTTAGAACTGCAGTGTAATAATTTTTACATATATCCTACTAGTATTGATCATTATCAAAAAATAAGACTAAAACTATAAGGCCTTTAATATTCCCACTTCAAAAGTAAAAGTTTAAAAAGGCACAAGTCAATTGAGCCACAAGTACAGGCTGATAAAGTTTCTGACAAACAGTAAGAAAACTTTTTCACTACTGAAGGGTGTTTCTAAAGTTTTGTTTGTAGCAATGCTTTTTCTTCATAAGGCTCTAACTTTACACTTTTTAAAAATGGAGTTGGGAACATGAAGTAGCTCCTTATTCAATTATTTTAATTGAACACTTAGTAATTTTATAGTGATTCATTTTACATACTGTACAGATACGTTGTGGTTAAACTAAAACATGAGTGTCTGATAGGTGCAGATGGAAGGAAAAAACCCTCTTACTACACCTCTTGGTATAAAGTCACTTGCAAGAGAGACAAAAGAAGATCAAAGCATCAAGGAAGGCGATTAACTGAAGATCAGAGAAATATTTTGAACAGTACAATATATACAATTTTTAAAAAATATAACAAATGTAAAATGTTATTGCTGTATAAAATAGACTTGAAAATCTCTATTGTAGTCTTCAGATTGTTCAGTGCAGTCTCAAGAGATTAGGTAACATGTCATTGTTAATATTGCAAATAATAGGTGGAGCTAAAGTAAAATCACCCCAGGTAGTATTAGTGTCAAAGAATTATCTCCCCAGAAAATGAGATTAAAGTACATTCCCCATGAAGTAAGCATAATTATGATGTTGCCATCTGTCAGTGTACAGGCCCAACACCTACGATATATTATGAAATGAGTCAAGACCTGAGAACCCTTTTTAAAAACAAAACAAGTGCCATTATTAAGAATATATTTTGCTCACTGGATCACTTGTTGCAATTAAGCACGTGTTAATTATTTAAGGTCATCCAGAATTTACTGTAATTCACTTCTGATACTTTATTTTTACCTACTTATTCTGAAATGTGTTTTTGCTATTCCTATTGAACAGATCACTCTAGTTTAAGCAACTGTAAATGCTTCTTGGCTTAGTTCAGTAGCTGATTTTTTTTGGGGGGGTGGGGAGGGGAAGAGGGAGGAAACAGTAAAAGGACCAATATGAAAGTATTAAGGCTCTGCCAGTTGTTTTTTTAAAGTAGGTTTTGTAAATGTTCCTGCTATGAAATTTCAAACATTCTACGAAAAAAATCACTACCATAATAATACCTTTAATTCATTACATGGCAGTAGAAATGACAAATGCTTTGTGAAACCATTTGTAACCAATTTGTTTTCTCCTAAGAACTGATTTAGTATTGTGATTTAGTATTAAACAATTTTGTATCTGAGTGTACAGATGATAGTTTAACAGCATGATTTAGAAATATCTTTGTATAGTGATTATTCAGCAGCTTCATAATTGACTAAATGCACCGACTGGTGTAAACTTGTAGTGTGTTACCTGATCATACAGTATTTAACAGTTTAAGTATAAAAGTATGAACAATTCTAGTGTTTTTTACATTCAATTTCTTTAAATGACAGTTCCACAAAACTAGAAATTATTTTCAATCAGCAAATTCTCTCTGTGAAAAATATTCTAGCTATTCCTGAACATTTGCATCAGGTATACTAGTTTCATTCATCTCTTTTTGAAAAACCTTCAGAGATAGACATTACATACAGTGAAATGTTTTGCTTCATGATGACTGCAAGCAAAAAAAAAAAAAAAAAAAGTCTTATTTGGAGCGCTACCACAGAATCCACTCCTGCAAATCTTTACTAATATAAGTAGTCTCACTGGTTTCAACAGGCAACTACTGAGAGTAAATGTTTGCAAATCTAGCCCCACAGTGGCATTTAACCCAATAGTAAGAAATGACTGCAGATTACAGGGAATCAATATACAGTACAGAAATCAGGAGAAGTTGACAAAGTGTATAGCAATTAATTAATTAACAACATTTTTTTTCCTAGTTTTGAACTGATTAACAACTCTTCCACAGTATGTGGACAATATAAATTCTAAAATATCAGAGCAAGATAAGTGCTGTGGAAAAAGAAGGCTTATTTCTAGCATATCAGTGTAAAATGATTGGAATTTTTCATCTCTTATTGTCATTACCACCATTTTAATCAGTAGGTGTTTCAGTCTCTGCAGGACCCCTAATTAGTCTTCGGATTCCCCTTTTTCCTGCAGGACCTTTTGGCTTAGCAAAGTTTTGTTTGTGTGCATGATGTTTTGGATGAACTTCTTCATAAAGGAAGTCAGGAGTTAACTCATCACCATTATCTATTTCAATCTGCAAACACGGATAAGAGATAGTGAATCAAAATAATGAAATACACCTTACCTGTGCGTTTATATTTACTGAACCACTAAAAATACAAGCAAGCAAGTTCAATGTTCAAGGTGAAATGTTGACCCTTAATTCATGGCCAGTGCCCTCTACAAAACTGAACAAAACTTACATTTGTTTTTGAGTTTGTCAGACCCTTGCAGTTTGTGGGTTAGCTTCACCATTTTTTTCAAGAGTATAAACACAAATGTGCAATATATCTCATTGAAAGAAATCCTACAATCCTCATGCTATCAGTTCTTACATTTTTCTATTTAAAGTTGAGTCATTTTACCTATTTAAAAAGTTTTAAAAATAGTATTTGTAAATGTAACCAACATGCACGTTCCTTTCCCTGAAGAGAGTAAAGTGGCCTGAATGATTTGCAGCCTAATGCAGCTCAGAGTAACTGTACAGCCACAGAAGAAACTATAATACATTAAAATCTTAATCTATAAAAGCATTAAAACACAACCTGCCTGGAAGGAAACAAACAATTTTAGGCAATGACTGACTTTAATTGCTATCTTTCTCACACATAAATTAGTGCTTACTAGGATTTGTAAGTAAGTGCATGCCTTTCTTATAAAGAAAGAATTGCTTCTAAACTCAAGAACTGATACTTGGGGCATTCAAATGACTGCATTCTATGAGGTTACATTCTTAAACTGCAGCAGCTACAAATGGGGGAGAGCTTTTTAATTTTGTTTCTGTGGATCACATTTCAGTGTTAAAACATGGCAGGATTAATATTAACCAAATATTCTCTTCCATTGCACTGTTGATCTGTTGAAGCTATGTCAAATAACTTTGTGTATCTCTCTCAGATAGAGGTCAATATGCTCTCCGTTCTTTAAAATTAAGTAATGGCCTGAAATGACCTTTAAAATGACTAGTTTTTCTTGAAGATTTGTTTGACCTCTTGCAGCCAAGCCATCTCTTACTGTTTGATGTACCAGGAAATTCAAAATGCTCAGTGGTACAGGGTGGAAGAATTTTTCAGAGATCTAAATTCATACAATAAAACCAATGGATTTTGTGTTTAGAAGAATAGTTTTTTAAAATGCACTTTATCATGAAAGTGCAACTTATAAATAGCTTTTTAACATAACTGTACTTAAGTTTCACGTGGTTTTATTTTTAAGGAAAACTACAAATAGAAGTCTGAAGGGGCATAGGAATGTTTAGCATATCTGAGAAATCTTGCAATGCTGGCTACAACAGTGACATGCAGGCATCTTCTCACTTTCAGGTGACACTGTAAATATGAAATTGGCAGAATTATATGCTGTAGATATAAACAAACATGTTTATCTTATTGACTGGCTGAACAAGAAGTAGGACTGAGTGGATTTTTATTAAACGAATTGAAAAATACTATATATTTTATTTATCTTTATTACAGTGTCAATATTTGTTATAAAAATATAAAGTTAACTCTATACATGTGTTGTAGCTGAAATAAATGTATTTGAAAAATAAGCAAAATACCAAGAATATTTAGAATAAATGTAAATTGGTATTCTATATTGCTTAAAGGGACAATTAACATTGTGATTAATCATGACTTTTTTTAAATCTAGTTAGTTTGTTTTGCATTATTCACATGCATTAACTGCAATTAATTGACAGCCCTAACATTTTTGCTTGACCTCACAAACCATTCTTAACCAATACATTCAGGCAGCATTTGGTATGGCTATGGTATGAATATGATATATATTAGTAACTAGAATCTCAGAATCATAAGGTTGGAAGAGATGTCAGGTGGTCATCGAATCCAATCCCCTGCTAAAAGGACCAATCCCAACTAAACCATCCCAGCCAGGTCTTTGTCAAGTTAGGACTTAAAAACCACTAAGAATTAGGGATATCAATGTGTAGATGACTATACAATTAACCAATAAGCCTAGACTAATTGGTTAATCTTGTTGTCTACACACATTCCCCTCCCCACTCTGAGGCAGCAGTGGGGGGGGGGGGGGGGGGGGGGAAG